TTTCTATTCGTTTATTAGTTTATTAGCTCTTTGTTCAGTTTTCCATTTTTATTTTTATTTATTTATCTATTTATTTATATATTTATATATTTAACTTCACCTGAATAAAGGTTATCCTCCAGTTGTTGAGATTTTGATCCAGAATTAAAAAAGCCTCTTTTGGCTGCTAAATTCATCAGCCATCTTGTTTATTTCAAGCCACTTAGTCGATGCTCGCTTGCACAAACTAGAGGCAAATTTCTGCTGTTACAGCTTCATGACATTTGCTAAAGAAACGAAAAGTTTGGACCTATCTTTACTGAGGGGGAGCTAATTGATAATCTTGATTTGATCACAGGTATTAAACTACGAGAAACTCATAGTAAACAAGACAAGAAGACGGAAAGTACCATTCCTTCAACCACAGCTAAACAAAGTAGTTATAGGCGCGCTCAGAAAACGACGCCAATTGTCAGGCGACGTGTACCACAACAGTTTACACCAACAGAGACACAGTCGAAACAGGTAAATCTGGGAAGAAATGTCATTTCAGTAAATACCAGAGGTGAAGTATTTCACAGTGACAACTGTCTCTTTTGGAGGGTCTGGAACTTACTACCATGATCAACCTTTGTTTCACATTTTCGCGAATTAAGAATGTTAGGTTTATAGGGGATATCCAGAAATAAAACAGCTGCAACAAAAACAACGCATTTTGCACTTAAATAATCAGGTTTGCGAGGATGAGAAAGCATCGCGAGAAGAAAGCTCAGCAAGAGAGAAATCATCTGCAGCCAAGGCTGAAGAGGTCACGCCTGAGGTCACCACAGCTAAACAAAGCAGTTACAAGCGCTCTCAAAAAACGACGCCAATTGTCAGGCGACGTGTACCACGACAGCTTCCACCAACAGAGACAGAGTCGAAACAGGTAAATCAAAGAGGAAAATGTTATTTCAGGAAATACCAGAGGTGAAGTATATCACAATGACAACTGTCTCTTTGGAGGGTCTGGAACTTAATATCGTGATAAGCCATTGTTTCACATCTTCGCGAACTGTATTAGGAATGTTGGGTTTATGAGGAATATCCAGAAATATAGCAACTGCAACATAAACAACGCATTTTGTGCTTAAATAATCAGGTATGCAAGGATGAGAAAGAATCACGAGAAAAAAGCTCAGCTAGAGAGATATCATCTGCACCCAAGGCGGAAGAGGTCACGCCAGATTTTGAATGTAATATTGCGCCTGTGCATGAGGAAAAGCTTCGTATGGGGGCCAAATCAGATTTCAGTGGTAACGAGATTGGCGACGACTTTGTATGTTACTCCAAATCTAGCGACGAGAAAGCAATGCCCGATGTGCCCCAATGGCTAACAGAGGAGTACAAGTTAGTGTTCATATCTACTCTTTTTTTTTTCTTTTACAGTCCGTGAACTTTTGTTTCTGAATTTCATTTCTGAGGCCAGTAGGGTAAAGAATTCACATGATGCAACACGTAGCTGTGCACACTTTCTGGTAATCAAAACTTACTCCATTCGGTGAAACATCATGTCTCAAAGCATATTTGTGTACTGGCTGCACTGCAATATACTTGTGAGGTCAATTTGTCACAATTGATTCAATAGAGAACACAGTCTCAGAACCTCCGGAAATTGAAGCAAAAGGATATTTACTATTTAGGTAGAAAAAGCGAATTGGGGATTGTCTGGTTTTATAATTCAAAGTTTCAGTAAACATGGAAGTGACGAGCTTTACGGTAGCAGAGTTTTCAAAGCCTAAAGGTTTTGATAAGTTTTAAATTTCTTAAAAAGGTCATTTTTGAAGTTCCCGAATTTGTGATGAGGCATATAATATAAACTGAGAAGCAATTTGTCTGCAGAGACTTAAGTATAGTTGACCATTATGAATTAATTTTGTGCAGGGAGAGAGAAGAAGAACAGGAAAACATAAAACTCATTAAAGGTGACACCACTGTTACAAGCTCGGCACAAAATATCAGACTGGAAACAGAGTCTGGTACAAAGAACAAGATGGAAGAAAATGTTTTGAGCGAGGAAGAGTTGGACTGTAGCTCTTTCACTGAGTCCAGCGGATATCAACGGAAAATGGCTGAGCTAAACGAAAAATTCAGACGGCTCAAGGCACAGTTTTCGAAGGAAAACAGACAGGCTGTCGAATCTACGAACAAGACAATGGAGGAGATCAAACAGAGCCAGGCAAGGGTAGATTGCATCGCAAATGAGATTGAGGAGATGCGACGGAGACGGGATGAAATAAAAGAAGACTTGAAACGCCTTGATGAGATCGGCCAAAGACGAGATCTCGAGGATAAAAAATGGAAAGAAAAAATGGACATGAAAAACAAGAAACTCGCAAATATACTGGAGAAGATAAGAGCCAAACGACGCAAATATCAAGAGGAGACGGGTGCTGAAAATGACTCAACAGAGGGGCATGATCAACAGGATAAGAATTCAAGTGAAAGTCCGGAGAGTGAGAAAAGCAAAGATGTCACCATAGGAAACGAAACTGTTATAGACGAAGACGTTGGTAACGAAGTGTTACGTGAGCCTCACCAGATCATCGAGTACAAAAGTGTAAAAGAGCTGGAAGAGAAGCGGAAAGAACTAAAGCAGTTGAAGAGACTGGAAAAGAAGGCGATCAAAAGAGAGAAGTTAGAACAAAGAGAACGTAAGAAGATCGAAAAACACAAACTTAAAAAACTCTCAGCTAAGAGTTCAAAGGTCTCGGAAGAAACTGCAGGAGTTGCTGAGTGTATAAATCAGGACATGGAGGCTACGAATACAACGGCAAAAGAGAAAAGTGTTGAAACCCCGAAAGTAACTAGAATTAAACCATACGTCGAAACCTCTTCACATATCGCAGAGTCCAAGCAAGTCCAGGCACCTTACTATTCTGGATTAATTACGAATGGTACAAAGAACAAGATGGAAGAAAATGTTTTTAACGAGGAAGAGTTGGACTGTAGCTCTTTCACTGAGTCCAGCGGATACCAACGGAAAATGGCTGAGCTGGACGAAAAATCCAGAAGGCTCAAGGCACAGTTTGCGAAGGAAAACAGACAGGCTGTCGAATCTACGAACAAGACAATGGAGGAGATCAAACAGAGTCAAGCAAGGGAAGATTGCATCACAAATGAGATTGAGGAGATACAAAGGAGACGGGATGAAATAAAGGAAAACTTGAGACGCCTTGATGAGAAATTAGGAGAGACGTTTGCTGAGGTTGATAGGCTTATATTGGGAGATACAGACTCTATGGTCGACGAAACAGTGGACAGCCAACAAAGTAAC